GTGTAATTTTTAAGCAACTTTATTTTTTGGCCAAAATTGAAAAAAAACCAAGGGGTTAGCCTTACATTTTTACCGAAATTTGGCCAAAAATTGGCTTTTCTCTAAACGACTCAGAAATACCTCTTGATGCACCAGGAACACATTTCAGTATTCAAACATTGAGAATTTTGAGAAATTGGGCAAAAATAATCCAGTTTTTGGTCAAAAATTATTATTTTGGACTTATTTTGCTTTAAATATTGATGCATTCTTTCTTCTAAATGGCACTTTTTGTCCAGGAAATGTGTAGGAATGTGTTTAAGGGACCCTTGGGCATCTTTCGTGTAATTTTTAAGCAACTTTATTTTTTGGCCAAAATTGAAAAAAAAACAAGGGGTTAGCCTTACATTTCTACCGAAATTTGGCCAAAAATTGACTTTTCTCTAATCGACTCAGAAATACCTCTTGATGCACCAGGAACACATTTCAGTATTCAAACATTGAGAATTTTGAGAAATTGGGCAAAAATAATCCAGTTTTTGGTCAAAAATTATTATTTTGGACTTATTTTGCTTAAAATATTGATGCATTCTTTCTTCTAAATGGCACTTTTTGTCCAGGAAATGTGTAGGAATGTGTTTAAGGGACCCATGGGCATCTTTCGTGTAATTTTGAAGCAACTTTATTTTTTGGCCAAAATTGAAAAAAAAACAAGGGGTTAGCCTTACATTTCTACCGAAATTTGGCCAAAAATTGACTTTTCTCTAAACGACTCAGAAATACCTCTTGATGCACCAGGAACACATTTCAGTATTCAAACATTGAGAATTTTGAGAAATTGGGCAAAAATAATCCAGTTTTTGGTCAAAAATTATTATTTTGGACTTATTTTGCTTTAAATATTGATGCATTCTTTCTTCTAAATGGCACTTTTTGTCCAGGAAATGTGTAGGAATGTGTTTAAGGGACCCTTGGGCATCTTTCGTGTAATTTTTAAGCAACTTTATTTTTTGGCCAAAATTGAAAAAAAAACAAGGGGTTAGCCTTACATTTTTACTGAAATTTGGCCAAAAATTGACTTTTCTCTAAACGACTCAGAAATACCTCTTGATGCACCAGGAACACATTTCAGTATTCAAACATGGAGAATTTTGAGAAATTGGGCAAAAATAATCCAGTTTTTGGTCAAAAATTATTATTTTGGACTTATTTTGCTTTAAATATTGATGCATTCTTTCTTCTAAATGGCACTTTTTGTCCAGGAAATGTGTAGGAATGTGTTTAAGGGACCCTTGGGCATCTTTCGTGTAATTTTTAAGCAACTTTATTTTTTGGCCAAAATTGAAAAAAAACAAGGGGTTAGCCTTACATTTTTACCGACATTTGGCCAAAAATTGGCTTTTCTCTAAACGACTCAGAAATACCTCTTGATGCACCAGGAGCACATTTCAGTATTCAAACATTGAGAATTTTGAGAAATTGGGCAAAAATAATCCAGTTTTTGGTCAAAAATTATTATTTTGGACTTATTTTGCTTAAAATATTGATGCATTCTTTCTTCTAAATGGCACTTTTTGTCCAGGAAATGTGTAGGAATGTGTTTAAGGGACCCTTGGGCATCTTTCGTGTAATTTTTAAGCAACTTTATTTTTTGGCCAAAATTGAAAAAAAAACCAAGGGGTTAGCCTTACATTTTTACCGAAATTTGGCCAAAAATTGACTTTTCTCTAATCGACTCAGAAATACCTCTTGATGCACCAGGAACACATTTCATTATTCAAACATTGAGAATTTTGAGAAATTGGGCAAAAATAATCCTTTTTTTGGTCAAAAATTATTATTTTGGACTTATTTTGCTTAAAATATTGATGCATTCTTTCTTCTAAATGGCACTTTTTGTCCAGGAAATGTGTAGGAATGTGTTTAAGGGACCCTTGGGCATCTTTCGTGTAATTTTTAAGCAACTTTATTTTTTGGCCAAAATTGAAAAAAAAACAAGGGTTAGCCTTACATTTTTACCGAAATTTGGCCAAAAATTGACTTTTCTCTAAACGACTCAGAAATACCTCTTGATGCACCAGGAACACATTTCAGTATTCAAACATTGAGAATTTTGAGAAATTGGGCAAAAATAATCCAGTTTTTGGTCAAAAATTATTATTTTGGACTTATTTTGCTTTAAATATTGATGCATTCTTTCTTCTAAATGGCACTTTTTGTCCAGGAAATGTGTAGGAATGTGTTTAAGGGACCCTTGGGCATCTTTCGTGTAATTTTTAAGCAACTTTATTTTTTGGCCAAAATTGAAAAAAAACCAAGGGGTTAGCCTTACATTTTTACCGAAATTTGGCCAAAAATTGACTTTTCTTTAATCGACTCAGAAATACCTCTTGATGCACCAGGAACACATTTCAGTATTCAAACATTGAGAATTTTGAGAAATTGGGCAAAAATAATCCTTTTTTTGGTCAAAAATTATTATTTTGGACTTATTTTGCTTAAAATATTGATGCATTCTTTCTTCTAAATGGCACTTTTTGTCCAGGAAATGTGTAGGAATGTGTTTAAGGGACCCTTGGGCATCTTTCGTGTAATTTTTAAGCAACTTTATTTTTTGGCCAAAATTGAAAAAAAAAACAAGGGGTTAGCCTTACATTTTTACCGAAATTTGGCCAAAAATTGACTTTTCTCTAAACGACTCAGAAATACCTCTTGATGCACCAGGAACACATTTCAGTATTCAAACATTGAGAATTTTGAGAAATTGGGCAAAAATAATCTAGTTTTTGGTCAAAAATTATTATTTTGGACTTATTTTGCTTTAAATATTGATGCATTCTTTCTTCTAAATGGCACTTTTTGTCCAGGAAATGTGTAGGAATGTGTTTAAGGGACCCTTGGGCATCTTTCGTGTAATTTTGAAGCAACTTTATTTTTTGGCCAAAATTGAAAAAAAAACAAGGGGTTAGCCTTACATTTTTACCGAAATTTGGCCAAAAATTGACTTTTCTCTAATCGACTCAGAAATACCTCTTGATGCACCAGGAACACATTTCATTATTCAAACATTGAGAATTTTGAGAAATTGGGCAAAAATAATCCTTTTTTTGGTCAAAAATTATTATTTTGGACTTATTTTGCTTAAAATATTGATGCATTCTTTCTTCTAAATGGCACTTTTTGTCCAGGAAATGTGTAGGAATGTGTTTAAGGGACCCTTGGGCATCTTTCGTGTAATTTTTAAGCAACTTTATTTTTTGGCCAAAATTGAAAAAAAAACCAAGGGGTTAGCCTTACATTTTTACCGAAATTTGGCCAAAAATTGACTTTTCTCTAATCGACTCAGAAATACCTCTTGATGCACCAGGAACACATTTCAGTATTCAAACATTGAGAATTTTGAGAAATTGGGCAAAAATAATCCAGTTTTTGGTCAAAAATTATCATTTTGGACTTATTTTGCTTAAAATACTGATGCATTCTTTCTTCTAAATGGCACTTTTTGTCCAGGAAATGTGTAGGAATGTGTTTAAGGGACCCTTGTGCATCTTTCGTGTAATTTTTAAGCAACTTAATTTTTTGGCCAAAATTGAAAAAAAAACAAGGGGTTAGCCTTACATTTTTACTGAAATTTGGCCAAAAATTGACTTTTCTCTAAACGACTCAGAAATACCTCTTGATGCACCAGGAACACATTTCAGTATTCAAACATTGAGAATTTTGAGAAATTGGGCAAAAATAATCCAGTTTTTGGTCAAAAATTATTATTTTGGACTTATTTTGCTTAAAATATTGATGCATTCTTTCTTCTAAATGGCACTTTTTGTCCAGGAAATGTGTAGGAATGTGTTTAAGGGACCCTTGGGCATCTTTCGTGTAATTTTTAAGCAACTTAATTTTTTGGCCAAAATTGAAAAAAAAACCAAGGGGTTAGCCTTACATTTTTACCGAAATTTGGTAAGGTATTTTGTAAAAACTTGGTAGTTTTATTTTTCGATGTTTGCAAATGTTGTATATTCCCTTTAAGGGACCCTTGGGTATCTTTAGTGTAATTTTATGTAACTTTATTTTTCGGCCAAAAGTGAAAAAATTGCAAGGGGTTAACCTTACATTTTCGTTAAATTGGGCCAAAAATTGACTTTTCTGCAAACAACTTAGAAATACTTATTAATGCAAGATAACCGTTTTTAACTTCTTGATCTGGTTTATACAAGCGTTATGGTACAAATAAATGATTGAATTTAAAAACGAGTTTTGAACAAGTTTGTATATTTGTATATTTTAGTCCATTTCATCCTCATCCCCAGTGGCATCAACCTTGTTCCCAGGGCTATTAACCTCCTTCCCAGGGCATCAACCTTGTTCCCAGGGCTGTTAACCTTGTTCCCAGGGCATCAACCTTGTTCCCAGGGCTGTTAACCTCCTTCCCAGGGTATCAACCTTGTTCCCAGGGCTTTTAACCTCATTCCCAGGGCATAAACCTTGTTCCCAGGGCAATCAACAGTGTTCCAAGTCTTTCAACCCAACCACCCCTTGAGCTAAATTCACTGTATTATTCAGTCATAATAAAGACTCCAAAGATTGGCTTTAAATCAGTTTTACTGTATTTATTCCAGTACTTGTTTCTCAACATTAAATAAAAACAGTTCAACAGCTGTTATTCAATATCTTACTCATTAAATAAAGTCGGATAAAAATAGGTAGATTTAAATTTTACACGGACAAGTACATGTTTTGTAGCATAACTCAACTTCTGACACACCAATAAGTAAACTTGTTTTCAACTTCCGTTGGTAAAAGAATTAAGAATGTCATACAAGTAACTTTGACGAAATAAACTTGTCATTCAGAATACGCCAAATGAATATCAGTACAAAATATACTTGTTTTTTCACCATATTTGTTTTATTGAATCTCTGAATTAATCAGATATTGGAGAAGAAAAACATGTTTATCTTCAACAGGTAATAATAATTTATAACGTGCCTTTTCCAAAGGTTACAAAACGTGAGCCAGGACACCTCTGATATCAGGTTAAAATAAAGACAAGGCGATTTGTAGCAAAATTTAATTATAAATAGCAAGGGGTTAACCTTACATTTTCCACTAAATTGATCAAAGGGTTACTTTTTTACAAACGACACGGAAATCCCTGTTGATGCAAGAGGAGATTCATTAAGTATTCATCAATAAACAACTTGAATGTATTGCACAAAAGTAAATGATTTTTGAAGAAACATTTCATTACTGATTGATTTTGTCCTATCTATCCAGGAGACGTGTAGAAACGTGCTTCAGGTTGAGCATCTTCACTGCGAGTTTGCAGCAATTTCACTTTCAACGCAAAATTGGCCAAAAAATGACAAGGGGTTAACTTTACATTTTACCGAGATTTGTGGTCAAACATTTCATATCACTCATTACCAATCAGTTTTGAATATTTGGGCAAAGATGATAACATTGGGGGGGGGGGTTCAGTTGTGCCTGATTTTGACTGTTTCCTAGTTTTATAGACAAAGGCCTTTCCAAATTGAGAAGCATTTTGAGAGAAATGAAAAAGTTCCAAAAGTAGACATCATAGGTTAGAGTGAAGCTTCATGTTGTAGCCTCATGTAGTTTGTACCTCCTTCTTGGCCAATGTCCTCCAAGATGTTTCTGCCAGAAGACGTCTTCGGAAAACCTTCAAGAAAAGATCGCAAACGGTTTTTAAGTATCATTTATAATAAAATATCTGTAGCACTTTTTCCCATATTGAAATTGAATCTAGATGTGGCAATTCAACTGTTTGCCAGAGATATATTGGAAAGACATTATTTTAAGGAAATACATTATTGAAAGGTCTCAAAAACAAATGAAATTTGGTTGCTTCCTGCAATTTTAGGAAATTCATTTGCAAAACACCCCATCCAGTGTAGAAATGCAACTGTATCAAAATTGATTAAACAAACATTTTGAGCAGTTATACACCATTTCCATGGTCTAAAGTGCACTAGTTTTTTACTTGCCTTGGCCTACAAGAACCTTCAGGTTTTGCAAGAACGAGTCACAAGTGAAAATTGTCTCATTAAGATTGCTTCAGTCAATAATTCAACAACAACTGAGAATAGTTACCTCAGTAAACATACAATCTTGTTCCGAGGTCTCCATAATTTTGCCTTTTCGTAGTCAGTACACCTGCTGGAAATACAAAAATAAATCAAGAAATATCAGCAATGCAAATTAACAGTTGCAATATACATTGTATTTTCTTACACATTAAGGCAAGGTGTGGTTCTCAAGCGCTAATTTCTTTTTGTTTTTTTAAGAGGCTTTTTCTTGGAGAAAAGTAAGCTTGGGAGGATCTAATTTTGGTGGTAAAACATTGGATTTAGATTTTAGGTTTGGAAAGTTGTTAATTAAATCAGCCAGGTTAAAAAGAAGTTTGCTCATTCTTATGCTTACCACTAAGATGTCCACTCTGCTCAGTTTTGATGAGACAATTTTCTCTAGACTCTGATGCCATCTGCCTCCAGCATTTGTGCTGTCAGATGAAATTTACCTCAAGAAATAGATAAATAAATACAACAATTTTACCAATGTTTTAACCAGAATCGTCTTTTAAATTAAAAACAATTCTGCGGTGATGTTTGATAGATGTTCTTCAACTCTAGGTACTTCTCTTGCACTGTTTATCCTTTTTTATTTCAACACCAAACCCTTTTCCATTTTCGAGAGTGCACCAATTGGCACAATGATCCAAGCATGTTTTTTTTTCAAATCAACAATTAATGTTCTTTCTTAATTCAATTCCTTTTTGCAAATATTTCTTTTCCGGTTATTTTTTCCCATGTTCTTAATATTTCATTTTTTAAAACTGAAGCACAGTTATCTCATCGCTAATAAGATCTCATTGGATTTTGACTGCAAATTTGAATTTCTTTTGGCAAAACTTCCTCTTGTCATGGAATTGAATTTTTTTTTTTTAATTACAGTTTTTGGTGTTTTAAGCCCCTAATCTTCCATCCTTTTTGGAAATAAAATATGAATTGATGTGATCCGCTCAGTGAACATGATTCAGAATTACTGAAAACAACTTTTTGGAGCAATTTTTCAAATGGGTTTCAAATAGGATGAAATGGAAATGCCAAATTTGGACCAAAATGGTATAGTGTTCAGAGATTTTTTTTCTTTTGTTATTAGAAAACAGATTTTTTTTTTTTTTTTTTTAAGTTAATGCCACAATGACGAATTCAAATTGTGATTAACTGATTCCTGTTCACTGAGCAGGTCAAATATCCTGGTAAGGTCTGTTTAAACAGGGCCACCACGAGAAGGTCCCAGGATACCAGCCCCAACACGCTTTCAGTATCGTCAGGCCCATTGCTGGATAAAAGGTAGGCCCCGGAGGGCCAGACACAGTTATCGACTGTCCGGTCCGCCCGCCCAGCCCCGAAGGACCAGGAAAGCACCCTAACCTATATGCGTGCCCCCCTAAGTCCATCCCCCTTACGGGTTCATGCGGTCTGATAGGAAGTAGCAGCGTTTGCCGGCTGTGAATACAGGGCCACGCCCCTATAAAGAGGGACGCACTACCTGCTCCTTTATGGCACGGCATCCTAGGGTTTCCAGGCCGCTGCGTAGGACCCACGCCCCACGTGGAAGGCGGACCTACCACGCGGACGCAACTCGCCCCTTGAATCTGTGCTGGATTTTCGCCGCACCTCAATTGAAGCACCCAGTCAGACTCCAATTAGTAATCGATACCGCCGCACCACCCTAAGCCCTAACGGCATAGGGATATAGGAGATCCCATAGCCTTATAAGTTTTCAGCGGGATATAGCAGATCCCCTGAACTAAAAAAAAAACCTATTTAGAGAGTGAAATTTTCATTTCACTAATTGGTGATCCAATTTATTTTTTTTAAAAAATGATTTTCCGATGGCTGGCTGGCTGGCTGGCTGGCTCCCCGGCTGGCTTGGCTGATTGTTGTCTTGCTATCGATTCAAAGATGACAGTCTAAAATGAGGGGTTTACTTCTAAAGAATGTTTATGCCATAAAGGCAGTGCACAAGCTAATTATTAAAAGTACAATTTATTGGAGCCTTGCAGCAGGGGCAGATCCAGGGGGCAAGTTTCCCACTAATAGTACTGAGGCCAAAAATTATCAAATTTTGCTTCCCATGGAGTAGATTCCCCCCCCCCCCCCCCCGATTGCCACCCAAGATCCACCCCAAGATGGACACGGGGATATAGATGATCCCATAGTCCTGCTGGTGTTGCGTTTGGATGTAGGGATATACAGATCCCATAATCCATCTTGATCCTGGAGTGTTTGCAGCGTACGCTCAATTTGAGCCGATGACACATGCTCAATTTGAGCCGACGACCTGTGGAAAAACCACCACCCCAAAACACATACATGCACCACCACCAACCCAGTCATGTGGTTGCCAAGGGCAATTTCTAAGGTTACACAACATTTCATCTTTGAAAATTGATTTCTCCCGTTTCGAAAACCGTATCTTCATGAAACTTTCAGGGCTTACCTTACTCATAATGATCCAAGTATGTGCTAAAAATCGTTGTGATGTGTTCATTATTTTTCGTTGAAATTGGATAAATAGTCCTGGCTATGTACGTTGTAACACTGACGTTTGCAACAGCTGTTCTTTTCAAGCCTCACGAATATTAATAAGGTTCTTATCCATTATGGTGTGCAGCAAAATTTTGAGAAAAGCCTCCTTCAAGAGTTAATTGATAAATATCACCCTTTTCGCCAGCTTCCATTGGTTGATACCGAGACTCATGCCAAAACACGCAGAGAGACACTGATGAATATGCTAATCTACAATACGAAATTGCGTGGCTTGGCCAAAATCGGTCAACTGTAGCACCTAAGGAGCTTTGCTGAACGATGCATGTTACTTGGGTTGGCAGAAATCATCGTCGATATTTTCCATAAAGATGGTTCAAATTGTAGCACTAGCGTTTGCAACAACATATTAAGCTGAAATTCGGAATATACTTAGATGATATAAGTGTTCAACTTCTCGCGAAATAACAATTTTGAGAAATTCCTAGAGAAAAAGATATAAATACAGAGATTTGGGGAAGTTTTCGAAGGTCAGCTATACCAGTAACCAGTATTGACGTTTTGGCATCGATGAAAACGGCGATATTTTTACTGACATGAAGCTAAGAATTTCTTCTTCCATTATAATTTAACTTTTCAATCATACTTTGCATAAGAAACACAACGTTCCAAAGGCCATGATTTTTTTGTGGTGCATGAATTTCACTGCTCTGCTATAGCGTCTAAGTACGTAAGTAGATTAGCTTTGCTTCACAACGGCAGATGCTTTGCCTTAGCAACCACATGACTGAACCCACATGGTCACAACACCTATCTGAACCACACTGGAAAAATGTTATGTCAAATTCTTACGGTGAAAATAGCATTCCAATACATTTTTTTTATATGACGATTATTTTTCAATCCTCAAAACAAAATATGCTCACATTACAAGAGAAAAGTGAGAGTTAATTTTTTTGTCAAATTAATGTCAAATTCTTACGGTGAAAATAGCATTCCAATACATTTTTTTTATATGACGATTATTTTTCAATCCTCAAAACAAAATATGCTCACATTACAAGAGAAAAGTGAGAGTTAATTTTTTTTCTGAAAGCATATGAAAATTTTGATTTGTTTTCAACCGTACTTTAGAGGTTTATAAAGTGTAAACCCTACTCGTGAGAGATGTCGTAGAAGATTTGCAATTACATTTCTCAAGGGTGGTTTCAGTTGTACACACAATAATGGAACGGGAACAAGAAAAATCTGGCTCACTCTGAGAAATCCATCGAACGACTCCACTTGCAAACTGTACTTGGGTCTTGAGATCCTGGGTCTTGGGTGTTCACTGGCTCAATTTGAGCGCTAATGGCTGAAACAAAGGGTTAGTCCTACCTTAGTGAACACATCTAGCTGACTTGTTCCAGCTGGCTGGCTGGCTGGCTGGCTGGCTGGCCGGCAGGCTGGCTGGCTGGCTGGCCCCCGGCAGGCTGGTTGGCTGGCTGGCTGGCAGGCTCATGGCTGGCTGGCAGGCTGGCTAGCAGGCTGGCTGGCAGGCTGGCTGGCTCCCCGGCCGGCTGGCTGGCTGGCCGGCTGGCTGGCTGGCTGGCCCCCGGCAGGCTGGCTGGCTGGCAGGCTCATGGCTGGCTGGCTGGCTGGCTAGCAGGCTGGCTGGCCGGCAGGCTGGCTCCCCGGCCGGCTGGCTGGCCGGCCGGCTGGCTGGCTGGCTGGCTCCCCGGCTGGCTGACTGCTACCTTGCTGTTAATACAAAGAACAAAAAGGAGACAGGATGTAGAAATGAGGGGTTTGCTTCAAAAGGATGGCTGTATTTAAATGCAAACTGTTCAAAACAGGTACAATTTTCTTGACAAAGAACAACACATTTTTTGAGACACCACACTTAAATTTCTATGGAACAGATTTTATCGACAATAATTATAGACCACTGCATTTCTTGTCATGATGAATTTAAATATACAGTACTTACATATGTAAATCATCATCCCAAATCTGTAAAAGTGCAAACATATTATATTGTATCCCATATGGGTAATGTTTAAAATGGGTCACAGCAATCATTTTCTGTTCTAAATAATTTTACGTCCCTAAATGTTTATTCACAATAGTGGTGCTTCATGGGAATTCAAAACTTCTAACAATTGTTTTTATTGACAGTTTAACAAAGAAGGGAGCTCTATAACTTGTGACATCAGGATAATGTTTTTAAGAAAACATTAAAATGGTATTCTTAAACTAGAAAAAAAAATTTCAAAGAACACTTTCTTGGGAGTGACACAAGAAAATATTTCTTAAAACACAAATATTTTTTTATACATGTTTTAAGAAATGTAAGGAAATAATTTTTTAGCAGTGTATGATCTGGCCAATTCCGGCGTGACAGACAGTACAGATTTTACACTACCATTTTTCTCAAAGGCCTGCCTAAGTTACGTATGAAGTCACGTAAACACTCTATATTTCAAATTAAAAAACAATCCATGAAACCAGGGGACTCAGTGGCTGTATATTATAAGTGAAAAAGTGAAAGCGTGACATACAGGACGGAAATTACACTCCACATTTTGAATATGATTTTCGTTGAAAAAAGTTCTGTTCCCCTGTTAAATTAAACTTTTTTTTTCTTTTAAAATTAATCACTTTTATGCCAATAATCAGTGAACACTTTACTTAGTAATTCAAAACAGAGAACTGGAAACGACAGACTCATTAATGTTGTGAAAGACGGGATGTGACAATATGCTGAATAAATGTAGGAACAAGCATTTATTATTTTGAGGACATGTACATGTGCATATGTACATGTGCATGTATAGCATATTAAAAACCAGAAGAGTCTCAAAAAATGTATGTTCTATTTTTTTTTAACAGGTGATTGAAAATAATGCGACAGACAGGACAAAAATATAGCAAATGGGCAAAATATGACATTTTTATGTCCTGAATAAAATGTAGGCACAAGCATTTATTATTTTTAAGGACATGTACATTAGTATATTAAAAACCCAAAGAGTCTACAAAAATGTATGTTCAACTGTTTTACCTTGGTGATTGAAACATTGTGACAAACGGGACAAAAATACTTAACAAATGGGTAACATGTGACAGACGGGACAGAGTTTGAGATGAATGAAATATGAGATCGACTATACTTCAAAGGATATTTTCATTTTACTGTCTAGGTGAAGTCACCTTGATAGATGATTCAAATTTGAACAACAAAGATCTTTTCATGTAAAAACTAAACAAGTTTTACATGTGTTTTTGTGACAGACAGGACATTTCATCATCTTTTTTTTTCAAAATGGTGCAAGACTGATGTTTCATCTTTTGGTTTGAAAATTTGTAGTGGTGGATAGGAAC